CTATTTCTCAGTCTCTATTGTGATCCATTCAGGCACTTAGTCATGTATTGGTATAGTTTTACCTATTACAGCTTTATAATATGTTTTTGTATCTGTAAAGCTACTCCTCTGTCACCACTCATCTCTTTCTGAATTTTTTCTATTCTTTTCTTTTTATTTTTACATATTTATTTTAAAATAATAACAGCTAACATGTATTTGATGCTTACTATGTGCCAAGCACTAGATTTGGCTCTTTAAATGTACCAGCTGGACTAATTATGATAATAATTCTGTTAGGTAGAGAAACTAAGGCACAGAGAGGTTATGGAACTTGCCCAAGATCACACAGCCAGTGATTCGTGCAACTAGAATATAAACCAAAAGTCTGTGCTTTCAACCGCTTTCCAATACTCTGTTGTTTCTCAACTTTTTGAGTTTGATGTTTAATTCATATGACTTTCATAATTTGTCAACTATTAATGTAAACAATTGAACCTTTGGATTTTCCTCTGATTACTGCTTTAGCTGTATCTCATAAGTTTTGAATACTATTGCTTATTGAGGTGTTCTCTTTGCTGTTAGAAATTTGTACTGTTATGCTAAATTTATAGATTAACACAGGGAGAATTAACATTTTTATGATGTTGAGGTTTCCCATCCAAGAACCTGATATATCTTTCCATTTGTTTAAGATTTTTTTCATATAAAACATACACATTTTTATTGTGATTATTCATAAGTATTTTATCTTGTTTATATGGTTATTTTAATGGATATTTTTTCTTGCACTATGACTTATAGCCAGTTATTGTTGGAATATATGAAAGCCATAGATATCTATATGTGATACTGAACCTTGTCTTTTTAACTAAGTTCTATTATTATTTCTTATAGTTTTCAGTTTATTTTCTTGGGTTTCCCATATGAAAAATTAATATAAACAAGATTGATTTTTTACCTGTCTTTTTCTTGCTCATACTTAACTTTTTACATTTACTACTAAGTAAGTAACAGAGATGATAAAAGACATCCTTGTCTTCCTCTGGACTTTTAATGAGACTTGAAAATTGGATATCGAAATACTGTCCACATTGAGGGCTTACAGAACAAAAGACGTTAGAAATGTAAAAAACTAAAATATTTAGGTAATTGTAAATTTATATTCTTTAACATTTGCTTTATGGGGTGCTTTTTTACTGACATTTCCTTTAGGGTCAGATGTGGTAGCATAAACAGCTCTACCTTTAGAAAGTGTTCCCCAATATCCGGCTTAAATGCTTCCTCGTTTAATAAGGTAAACATCTTTAATCTCCTGTTATAAAAGTACCATGTGTCACTTAAAGGAAATTTGGAATCTTGAGAGCAACAGAAAAGATAAAATACTTTAAGTAAATTAATTGCCTGGGTCTTGGTGAGCGACCCACACTGTGTGCCTTCCCACCTCCACTCACATCCACAGCAGCGACGATGCCTACCTGGGTCCCCAGAGCTGTTGCTGTTCCTCTCGCTCTCCCCGTCTTCCTGGCCATCTGCATTCTGCTGCGTGTGCTGTAGGCTGAGCTTGTGGCAGACCTCAAAGGCCTGCCCCACTGTCCGGACAATTCGCATAGCTTGGCTCTGGGAAGGAGAATGGAAATGAGTGAGGGTTGTGAAGATGCTGCAAAGACACAAGACGGGTCAGGGGCGGGCAAGGATGTGCAAGGGACATGCGGACAGAAACCCACGACAAGCAAAGGAAAGAGCTGGAAAAACCTAAGGTTGTTCAGATGTGCACATACTCACAAAGAAGAGTGTGAAGACATTTTCCCTTCCTGAAATACTCCAGAAAATAGAAACTGTCACCACAGTTCTGAAACCATCAGTCAACTGAAAGGGCAGATAGCAAATAAACCAATTCTGGACTTAGCCCCAATTCCTCCCTCCCAAGGATAACAAAAATAGTCGATAGGCTTCAGGACTTTTTGCCAACCACTATTGAATGTTCCATGGGTCCAATCGAACTAAGAACTCAGCCATCTTTTTTTTTTTTTTCCTTTTTTTTTTTGGCTGCTGCAAACATTGGATTTCCCTGAAGCTCCCAGAGATCAAGGGCTACGTTGACATGGGGCTTGGAAGCCATGGCCTAGATGGCAGAACCAACCAATACTCAGCGTCCAAGTCCCCTGGAACACCACTGGCAGCCAACTTAATTTAAGATGAGCCTTTTCCAGCCTAATTCTAAAGACATCACTCACTTGGGTCTGTTCTGTGGCTACTTCCTTTCTTCTGTTTTGCTATTTAACCTCTTTCTTTAAGAGCCCAACAAGAGAGTCTGACCCTAACTCCCAGCATTCCGATACTTTACTAGGAGAGAAGGGGAGAGGACAAAGAAGCCTGTTCCTGGACAGAGTCATAAGCAGCCCCAACAGGCTTGAAGAGGAACCACATGCAAAGTTTTCAGGGCACGGTCTCAAAGGTGGATAATTGAGTGTAATTTGATAGTCAGTCAGCTTTCCCCTTCTCCCAAGGACTAAAAATGAGTGAAATGTGAAATACGGAATTTCAGAGTTCAGACTGGAAAAGCTCAACACAGTTTCTCTTACCCTAGTCGTCCTCAAACATCACATCACCACAGACTGTAATTTACTTAATTTGTCACTGCCACCCTGTACCCAAGCCTAACATTAACTGTGTTTTGGATAATCTGACTTAAGGTCAGCTGTGACCACCTGGTGACATCCTACAGTCCACTGATCACATACAAAACCCCCAAGATAAAGTCAGCGTCAAGCAGAACTTCTCATTAGCATGAGATAGCTGGTATTACACTACAAAACTGATGCCCAGTGTTTTGATAAGCCTTCAAGGCCTTGTGGAGAGTAAATGTATGCTTCATTTATGCTTCTCATAATATTGAAATCAGCTCACATTACATTACTATCTCCCTGAACCCCTAGGGACCTTAGAACCGCATGTTTTGAACTAGTGCTCTTGCCCATTCTCTGTGAGATGTAACTTCCAAAATTGCTGCCCTTGCTATTCCTTAAGCCTGGTGTCACTTCTGTGTTCCTTCTTTTTATTTCAGGCCAGAGCATCCACGTTAATATGAAAAGGCATCTTGGCCAATCATTATCCACATGTCTGTTTCAGATCTCAGTCTCCTTTTGCTCCTCCTGACATTCTCAACTCAAGCCACCTCCTAGAAGTGACTGCCGTATAGCTCAAATCACTCAGCCCATTATGCCAACCCCAGAGAGATGTTCTTAACTGATCTCTCACCTAGATCATCCTGACATGTCTGGGTGATAAGAACCTTAAGTTAAGTGAAGCAGGAGGAGATGGGTAACTTCCTTAGTCAGAACCTCTGTCCTCTATGTTCACCCTTAACTTCCTCCTGTGTCCAAAGGGCAGGCCTAGGCCCTTTTTCACAATACAGGCTTGCAGTAGCTAAGAGACAACTGTTCTTTCTGCACAGGAAGCTGAGAAGCAGTAGGCATCGGTCCTAAGCAAGAAGCCCCTACCCTTCCCATTCCCAAAACATATAAAAAGATGCAATTTAGAGGGCACAGTACTAAGGCCAAGCACACCCCTGCCTTCCACATCCCGTTTGGCAAAGCCAGGAAGCTCAACTCTCCGTGAAAAAGGAGAAGAAAAGGCTGCTCTGCCCAAAAGTGTTATTCCCATGGGCTCCTCAATTTTTTTTTTGTCTTTTTTTGTGACCGGCCACACCGTGCTCAGCCAGTGAGCGCACCGGCCATCCCTATATAGGATCCAAACCCGCGGGCGGGAGTGCTTCTGCGCTCCCAGCGCCGCACTCTCCCGCACTCTCCCGAGTGCGCCATGGGGTCGGCCCAATTTTTTGGTTTGTTTCTATTCTCTTTACTAGAATGAGAGAGAGAGAGAGATGCCTTTGGTTAATCATTTACAGCAAAGCTCAGTACTAGTTTACCAAACCTTAGGTTAGGCTTTATTCTGCCTACCAAGTATACCCAGTGTCAATTATACAGAACCCTTCCTCCTCCCATCCTCTCTGACATTTGCAAATTTCTCTCTCCTAGGCATCTATAAAAGAGGCAGAAAACATAAACGTTTTAGGTTCTAGAATTAAAATATGGTAAGTCTAGATTATGTGTCGAGATTAGGCGTTTAATTTCATTACTTTCTTATCTTACATAAATTAACCCAGATATCTTATACAGAATAAGAATCTGTCTGCAAAGACTGAGTTAGTCTTTTCTCATATGTGTCATTCCTACAGTACAGACTCAGCTTCCGCCTTTAAAATATACACGTTACATAGGAAACTCCAAACTCACTATTGTGTCTGTTCCTATGAAATCTCAGTTTTCCTAAGGAGGACATGTTACAAATCCCACCATATCTGTAAATAACAGACACATCCCCTAACCAGCTTTTAAAATGATATTAAAAATTTAAAGGTCATCAAACAAGTGTTCCTGATCTATGGGATTAGACAGGGGTAGGGATCAGATTTTTAAACTTTATCTTCAAAAGCAAGAACTCAGATTTAAATAAGAGGACAGAGCTGGTGGGACATGACTTTACAGAGGACCTGCATTTCTTGAGTGTCACAAAAGATGACAATGAATGATGGGTGACACTCAGAATTGAGCATTTTAGGAACCTAGGCTGTGGCTCAAATCTCTATTCTGCCACCTTTACCGAGGACAGACATGTGGAACATACCTCAGGTTCAAGCAACTGTTTGTAAACTCAAAATGATTGCAAGGAAGTAGGCTGGTTTTCATGCTTACTATTTATACTGTTTCGTTCTTACATTTTAGTACATTTACTAGGATCAGCAATTGACCCAACCTCTATCTGATTCCCCTAAAAGTAGAAAATGCAGACTTTAGGTTTACTGGTCCTGCCTTTTCTGTGTTGAAAGGGGCATCCCGCCTCTCTCCAGCCTCCCGTTTCCTTACTGTCCTCCCTTTACCACAGTTGTTCTATATTTCTGTAAATTCACTGAAAAAGTGAATTAGTGATGTCTCTATAGCATCTCCTCTGCCACAAAGAGGAATAAATATATGGATAACATATATGACAGCACCTCCCACAGTGCTTGGGATATATGCTCAAGAAATGTTGTATTCAGAATGTAGAACTCACCGTACCACAGGCAATTAAAACAGAAAATAAGTAGTAGTTCAGGAAAGGCTGGAATTATTTCATCAATAACAGAAATAAAGATACTGAGGGAATCACCTCTTGCATACATAGCATCGAAAGGACTTTGCTACCATTCCCTCCCCTCTGCCCCCACCACCCCACCTCTCCATCCTCTAGCATCAGAGGAAAAGCCCTGGGCCAAATGGATCTTTGGTCTGAGCTAGTATGATGGTTTCAATGTATAAGAAAGTTGTCAAATAAGAGTTCTAGATTTGCACACTCAGTACTAATCATTTCATTTCAATTTATGCTTTACTCCTCTTTAATGTAAACATTATGTTTCCATTCATAGTAAAAGGACAGAGTAGCATGTTTCACGAGCCCTCTGCACCTGAACACATAATCAAGCTACCCTACCTGCTTTACAGAAGGACTCCAAACACATGAAAGAACCGCCCTTCTTGTCTACCACACCAGGAGTTAGAAGGAGCTGGATGGCTCTGAATTCTACTCATAAATGGCCATGTGAGTTGAAATGCCCCTTGACCTTTTTGGGTTCTCCTTCCTTCACCGGTGAAAAGTCTACTTTTATAGGACTCTATACAAGAACCCCGTTAGGGGGACAATTACTTGAAGGTGGCTAGTAGGGGCAACCTGAACCTGCCAGGACTGTCCCTCCCCCCATCGGCTTTCTGCACAGCCATGTGGGCTCCTGCCCCTGCTAGATCTACCCCACTTGGTCACCCCATCTTCCAGCCTTCTAGGCAAGAAAACTAGTTTTGCTTGGTACCCTAAAATGTAGGAATCATACGTGCTGGGGCTTAAGAAGCTCTGTCTGAACTGTGGTAAAGAGAACTTAAAAAGAAAAAAAACCTTGCAGGAGGTTTTATGAATACTTCTTCTTTGGGTTTCCTAGGTCCCCTTGAAGCAGTTGCTTCAATCTCATGACCACAAACAGGCCTTTGGAAATCAAAGTGGAGGTTTAAAGACTGAAGGCAGCAAGGCAGAAACCAGAACAAACAAGTGAAACATTGGGAAGGAAGCCTTTTTGAGTTCCAAGATTTGGCCATTCTCTGGAATTTACTAGATTTTTTTTTTTAAAGCATCATTATACTGAATGATTTCTGTATAAATCCAGTTTAGTTTTACATAAGCCCCTGAAAGTACTTTGCCACATGGATCAAATCTTCCTGAGCAAAAGCCATTTCTATTAGCAGCCCCAAAGCATGTGTGGGATCTTAGTTGTCAAGATTAGGCTGCATATTGTTGCTTTGATGTTTTCAAAGCTAGAAAGGAATATCTAACTTCAGAGTGGCTCTCAGCTGCAGACGGAGAGTGCTGAAGCTCTTGGGAGTGCAATTATAGGCAATTTGGTGAGAATAGGGCTGGAAAGGAAGCTGTCTTAGAACTTTATACCCTTACCTCCCACAACAATGTTTCTTTAATCCATCTACCATTCATATTGACATAGCTCTCTCTCCTCCACCCCCAGGACATCCTCAGCC